CCCCAGTTGTATTTTGAGTGCCTTCCAACCTGAGGGGCTCATTTTCTGGCACTATATCTGACAGTGTTACTCTGCTATTCCTAAGGTTTTTGGTGACTAAATATTTGGAAGTAGTTCGTCACTCCTTCTTCCTAGTCTGTCTTTGTCTGGAAGCTCATCTGAAACCTGTCCACCATGGGTGACCCTGCTGTCATTTAAAATACCAGTGGCATAGCTTTCAGAATTACAGCAACTCACAAGCCACCACAGTATGACAAACTGACAGGGGGTAGTAGGTTCCTCTACTCAGCTCACTTTTCTATCTCAACAGAGATTAACTCAAAACAAACTTAATCCCGTAGATCTCATCTAACCTCATTCTCATTATAGAAGTGAGGATTTACAACATAGGATAATTATATTGGATTAGGGCTCATCTCATGAAATCCTATCATGGGGTTGATTGTATTCTGTTAGATCTCATCATGGAGGTGATAATTGCATCTTAACTACTAACTCACTGAGACCTGACCCTGCCATCTTTGCCCTTGAAACCAATGATAGGGAAATGCAGGATTGGACCACAAAGCTGAAAACTTGTGAGACCTGGAAAAACTGCCTCTCACAGGTTTCACTGTAATGAATGCCCACATTTTAAGTTAAGATTTGTTGCTTTTTTGTAGTATTAAAAAAAGATTATTTTTTTTACTACAAAGACAGCAACAATTGATACAAAAAGAAGCAACCAGTCTTAATAACAACGGTTAACAGTAAAATGAGACACATGAATTTTTATGAAACTGAACGTTTTAACTTTTGATAAAACTCTTTTCTTGGGGTCTCAAGTCTTCAACCCATTCTCAAACCAAACCCATTGCCATGTAATGGATTCTCACAGCTACCCTAAAGGACGGAGTAGAAGTGCCTCATAAGGTTTCCAGGTTGGCGCTGTAGGATAAGCACTCCATTGAAACGTTCAAACTCACCAGCCGCCTCGGAAACCCTATACAGGATCACTAAGAGTCAGAACCGAAGCAACCATAGTTAACAACAATCTTTAATTTAGCAGATTGCCATATCGCTCTTTAGTGGAAAGACGGGTGGGTTCCTAACGTCCGAAACGCCCACCTTTGGGTTAGCAGCCAGGTGCTTACCCATTGTGCCACCTGGGCTCCGGACCTAGACTACTGTATTTAGATTGAATGTTTTGCTTTTCATTTTTCCCCGTTGTATTGCCACATGCAAGCTGAGGTGTTCTCTCTGATCCTCAGTTTTCTCGCCCGTCAGGTGGGCATAATGCAACTCGGTTCCACCCTAGGGTTGTGTAAAGGCTGACATTGAAACAGTCCAGCTACTGGCTTCGAGCGCTCCACCTGGGGTGGTCGCTGATGGGATCAATCGGCTTTGGCTGATTGACTCCCGCGGACTAGACCACCAAGGCGGGGATCAGGGCGTGGCGGGTGGGATTTAAGGCCAGGACCCTCAGTCTCTCGGTGGCTGCACCAGCAGAGGGTCGTTCCCGCCTCGGGCTCCACATCCAGGACCGGAGTACAGCGGCCAGCGCAGCAGCCCACAACCCAGAGCCCAGCACCTGCAGCCCCAATTCTGGGCTCGCGCCGAGCGCCTGAGGGCGGGGCCTGCGGCGGCCAGCCCCCCACCCCGCGCACCCCGCCCCCCACCGACCCCCGGAAGGGGCCAGTCGCGCTTCCGTCTCCGCCGGGGATGCACGGAGGGCGGAGTCGCGGCCCGAGGACGCGACGCGAGCCCAGTTCCGGCGAGGAGGCCGCGCCAGTGACAGCGATGGCGGCGGAGTCGGCGCTCCAAGTTGTGGAGAAGCTGCAGGCGCGCCTCGCCGTGAACTCGGACCCCAAGAAGGTGAGTGGCGGGCGTTGGCCCGCGCGGGCCTCGTAACGGTCATGGGCCGGGCTGGGGTCCTGGAGAGCGGGTCCAGCGCGGCCGGGCCGGGGGCTCGCGGGCCCGGGTGGGGAGTTCGCGACCCCCGGGGCGCTCTGCACGCGGCGGGGCCGGGGCCCAAGGCCAGGGGCGCGCTGGGACCGGCCCGGGTCCCCCGGAGCCGAGCCAGCTGTGTCCTGTCGGGGACGTGCGGCCGCGTCAGCTGCCCGGGTCCTGCGCCCTCCGTTCTCCTGCGGGGCCCGGGTCGTTTCGTGTCTGCTCCGGGGATCGAGCCCACACTCGGGGTCTGCGTGTTCTAGCGCTTTGAGACCGCTTCGTTGCTTTCCCACTTGATGTTATTAGAGCATTGACCTTTTCAGTCTGTGAGTCCTTTCAAGTCAGAATCAAGTTTCCCGTGGAAACTTGGTTGAAATTGGGAGGAGAGACAAAAAAGGTCCGAAGTTGTAGTTCGATTTCGTTCTGACCCCGGTGAAGTGATGGGCACACGTTTTCATTGCATCTAGCTCGTATCACTCGTTTCTCTCTCCTTCCTGTGACCCAGCTTCTCGGTGGTCTCCGAGGAGGTGTCTATGGATGTTAGTGTCTATGGATGTTAGTTTTTCTATTGGGGTGTTTGTAAGCGTTCTAGCTGGGGTGTATTTTCTAAGAGTTGATTTTCTAAGCCAGTGAGCTTGTTCTAAGAGGAAGTAATCGAGGGAGGCAGGTGACAAGGCGGTGGTGGAGGTTTGGGTTCTAATGTACGATGCCTCCTAGGACTAAACTGAGAAGTTGCGCAGGGCGAGGCCCAGAGGAAGCGCTCAGTGGACACGAATCGCCACTCTTCGAAGTGCCCCTTCTTTCTAGCCTTTCCTAGGAGAGCTTTTCTCCGTTTCCAAAGGCTGCCAACCGCTTCTCACCATCACTTTTTAATTCTCTTTCCAATTCTTCAGGAAGCCATTTTAGTTTCAAATCTGGAAACTTAAATGCTTTCCATTATATTGTGTTATATTTTCTGTTGTAACTTTAGTACCTAGTGGTCAGGCATATTTACAGGTTTCGTTTTACAGTTACCCTTTGTGGACATCTAATAAATAGTCCTTATTTCTGATTGCTTGTTGTTTTCTTAAGCACTATAAGGTTTATGACTGATTTTAAAATCACAAAGCAATATTATGTAACCTCCTCCCCACCCAACCCCCATTTGGTCTTTATTTCCATCCGATTTTTTTTTTTAAATATAAAAAGGTTCATATAGCACCTATATACTTCTACTAGTATGTAAGTTGGGAAGAAGCTTTTCTAGATAGTTGGTATGTAGGAAATATCAATTAGTAAAAGGTTCATTTGGTTTCTCATTCTTGAACTCTTACTGATTTTTGTCAGCACTGGGAGTTTCTCTTCCTAGGTAGAAAATCACCCTGTGTGAAGTGAGCATTCTGAAGATGACAGAATACTGGGAGATCATTTGTACAGAGGGCATAGTAGTCGGCATTCAAAAATGGGCTAACTGCAGAGGGAAAATTGCAAGCTGGCACATTGGCTGCCTTCCCCTCAACCTTCTGTTAATGCAACAAGCTCCCGCAGGTTGTTCTTGAAACTGCAGGATGATTATATGGCAGTACTGAATTTGCAAACAAATTTTTTCCCAGCCCATTATTAGCCAAAGGATTGATTCTACAGCTACTTCTGTGGCTTTTCTGGTATGAAACACTGTAACTGTTTAACTGTAACTCAGTTTTCATTTTAAGTCTAAGCTATCCATTGCTGCTATAACAGAGATACAAGTGATTGGCTTTAACAGAAATTTAGTCTCTCACAGTTAGTTGTTAAGTGCAGTTGAATGGGTTCAACTCTTAGCAACCCCTATAGGGTTTCTGAGGCTTTTAAATCTTCTTCGAGGGAGCAGAAAGCCTCATCTTTCTCCTGTGGAACAACTGGTGGGCTCGAATCATGGACTATGTGGTTTGCAGTCCAGTGCTTATCCTGGGGAGCCACCGCTGAGTTTAGGCTGGAAGTACCAATTCAGAGCTTGGGCTCCAGGAGAAGGCTTTCTTTGTGTGGCTTTGGAGGAAGACCCTTGTGTCCTTTCAACATGTGTGGGTCTGGTGTTGTTGGATGTCTCCATGTGCCTTGGCTTCAGTCTTCTCTTGAATTTAGGAGGTTCTCAGAGCTGGGACTGCAGGTCCAAGCGATTGACTCAAGATACCACCTTATCCTATCCATTGTATCCTGCCTTCTTAACATAACTGCATGGAACCCAGCCTCATAAAATCATAGAGGTTATGACTTAGAACACATAGGATAATTACATCAGATCACAAAATGAGGGATAATTATTTAACAAGGAGAATCAGGATATAGCCAAGTTGACATTTTTGGGGGCGGGTGTGTGTGTGTGTGTGTGTGTGTGACACAATTCAATCCACAACAAAGCCCATCCATGATCTAGGTTTACTTGGGAAGAAGGTGTGGTTTGCAGTCCAGTGCTTATTGTATGGAGCCTCCACTGAGTTTAGGCTGGCCACTGGGTTTCTGTTCTTACTATTGAATTGGAGAGCATTTTCAAGGCAGGTATGTAGGAAGGAATCAGTACTTTTTAAGTTTACCTGTGCATTTTGAATGCTACAACTACTAAGAACACGATTTGGTAACAGGTGGACCTAGGGATCAACATATGAACAGCTCTTGCTCCTTAGGTTGGAGTGTGCAAAGGAGACTCCTAAGCTTCTACTGTGCCAATGTTTGGTATTTCTCAACTATCTGTGATTAGTTTTTATAAGCTTTACAGTTGGTCCATTGGTTTGAAAACAGCAAATTTATACAGAGCTGCTCAAAATACTTTTACTTTTGCTCTGTTCTTTCTTGAGGTTCATGGAAAATGGAGGTGCTTAGAAGTCTGTTTTCTCTTTTGTCAAACCAATTCTGTTTGACAACCTTGAGGGTTTTCGTTTTTTGTGCATTAAAATCCCCATCACCAACCTGAAGTGAGACCAAAAAGCACCACTCCTAGTTAATGCTGGGCTTTGAGATAAACAACACTGCCAGTGACTTCTGGCCTCATCTGTATTTTGTCTTTGTAGGTCCTGGGACTCTGTTTCCATAGTAACCTCCTTCACTCTGTGGACTATAACCTAGCTGACAGTGTAATGCTGAGGAGGAGCTGAGAGACTTAGGAGCTACTCTGCCATTTTCTTTTCCTGGTTCTTAAAGATAGAGTGCTATTATGTTAAATGTTTCTCCGGACTTTGTCATGCACATCATGGTAGACACACTTTGCTAACTCACTCAGTTATTAGGCAAATTACCTCACCTTCCCTGGGCTTAGTTTCAGTATCTGTAAAAATGGGGAGATTAATATCTACTTCATAGGCTTGTAGTAAGGGCGAAGCAAAGTAAGACATGTGAGCACTTAACCATAGTAGCTGACACACAAGAGATGGGTACAAACATTTCCAATTTGCCTCTTCCTGGGAATGGCTTTTCAGGGATTCTGAATACTTCTTTAAGAAAAGGAATTGGCATTAAATTTTATACCCATAGCTTAGATGACATGAAATGTTTAGTGCCATCAAGTTGGTTCCAACTCTTAGTGACCCTGTACATATAGGGTTTCCAAGGAGTGGCTGGTGAGTTTGAACCACCGACCTTGCAGTTCAAACCAATCTTATGGCAGAGTACTTATCCTATAGCATCACACTAATAGCAGTATGACATACTTATTATAGCTTGAGCTATACACGGAAAAAGAAGTTTGTAAAGTGCCACCGAGTTGGTTCCAATTCATAGTGACCCTGTATAGGGTTTCCAAGGACCTTGCGGATAGCAGTCCAGTGCTGACCTTGCTATCTAGGTAGTCACAGTTCTGTCTGCTCTCATCGTACTTTGCAGCACTCTTGTGGGTATACATAAACACTTCCTAGAGAGAGCCAGCACCAGTCATGACTTCTGGTAGAAATTGACTGAGACCTCAAAAAATTCCTGGGGGAACAAACTTTTTTTCATGAATTTTTTGAAGCTCCCTTGTATCCCTTTGAAGATCCTGGGTGGAACATTTAAAGAACTATCAGTTGATGAATGAAATGCTCATTGAATATTTATAGCATTCCATACTATTTGGGACTGGCCATGTGTTGTCTCAGTGAATTCTGACAACTAGTAAACAGTCCCTGTTTTGCAGGGGTGATAACCAGAGGCTACAGCCTGAAACCCATCTCTGGCTCCATAATGTCATCTTAACAGCTCTGCCCTATCAATTATGACCTAGTTTTGGGGACAAGAGAAAGGAAATGTGGCCAAACCAAGATCACTTTTTTAATCTAACCAGACATTTTCTGTTTATCATTAACAGCAAAATTCTGATTCTGGCAATTTGAAATGTTCTTGGCTTCCCACTTGTATGGAGAAGCAATTCTCATTAACATTGTGAATCTTCCTGGAAACGAGATGCCCTTTTCCTGAGAGCCCTCTTTCCCTTTTTATTCTTCTCTGCTACAGATCCATGGGTAATTTTCCTGACATGGTACCTTTCTCATAAATTCTCTCCTAACACTGGGTCCAAGTGATAGTTGTTGATAACTTTTACTAGAGTTAGCAGGCTTTGGTTCTCTTCTTAGTCTTACCTCCTCTTGATGTAGTATAGTGGTTGAGAGTATAGGATCTAAAGACAGACCTATCTGCATTTTGCAGTCTGTAATTTAATTTTTTGAGGCCTTTTTCACACTTGTAGAATAAGGACAGTAATGATATTTATTAGTATAGAAGACATAGCTCCGAGTAAGCACTCAACTGTAAGAAATTGCTTTGCTTCGATGAATGACTACAGTTTTATAGAAATTAATGTGTAATGTTGCATTCTCTTTGCAGCTATTGAAATATTTGAAGAAACTCTCTACTTTGCCGATTACAGTAGATATTCTTGCGGTAAGAGCTAGTAGAACTTTTAATGTTATAAAACTATTTTCTGTCCTCTTCCCACTGGGATAGATGTAGAATAACGCTGAAGAACATGGGCTTTGGAGATGAAAGAAGCCAGACACAAAAAGCTGCATGTTGTATGATTCCATTTCTGTGAAATACTCAGAATAGGCTGATCCATAGGCAGAAAGTAGATTGGTGGTAGCAAGAGATAGAAGGTGAGGGAAAGAAAAAGGTTTCTTTGGGGTTTGATAGAAATGTTCTAGAAGTAGATAGTAGCGATGCTTGGACTATATTGCGAGTGCTCTGGAAATATGTGACTTTTGTCTTAAAAACATCTAAAATAAAATGATCATGAGCTCTAGCAATAGCCCACACTAGATTCAAATCGAAGCTCTGCCTTCAGGCTCTCCCTCCTCTGAAATGGGGATCTTATACCTGCCTCAGTTATTGCAAGAGCTGATTCAGAAGATACTGTATATAAAGCTCTGGTACGCTCAGTGTCTGGCAGCTGCTATTCTCTTATTATTGTTGAAGTGTATTAATGGGTTTTCCTCCTTTGCTGTACTATTTGCTACTATGTGTCACTGCAGCAAAGATACAAAATATTTTGTACTGAGACTTGCAAAAAAAAAAAGAGGAGCTACTGTTTGTGGGAGGAGCCCTGGCAGCACCATACAGGCTCAATTGCTAACCCACAAAACGGCTGGGTTCAAGCCCACCAGCTACTCCAGGGGAGAAAGATGTTTCAGCCTGCTTCTGCAGAGGTTACACTTTTGGAAATCTATGGGGCAATTCTACACAATAGCCACACAGCAAAACATTCTTACTTTGTCAAAGCAAGGGTCCTTAATGTATTATTTCTTTAGAAAAACGTGAGCCTAGTTCTATAATCCTCTTAAACAATTCCTTTCTCAAATTTGTAGGAGACCGGAGTTGGGAAAACAGTAAACAGTTTGCGAAAACACGAGCACGTAGGAAGCTTTGCCAGAGATTTGGTGGCCCAGTGGAAGAAGTTGGTTCCTGTGGAACGGTAAGAACATTTCGGCTTTGCTTTGCTCAATTTCATGGTTAAATCTGTTACTTGGCAGTGTTTGCATTCAGAAAAGCCTTTCTTTCTTTCTTCTTTCCTGCCTTTTTATTTAAAAGGTCTATTTTTGCCTCAAACATTATAACATTTTGGTATGTTTGTAACCTCTTTTTTAAAGGTTTTCAGAAAAAAAAAGAAGATTTTATTATGGTTTAGGTGAAAGGTTATAGAACACATTGATTTTCCTTTCAACAATATTATAATGTATACACATTTTGTTTCATGGCACTGGTTGTAGTCCTCTTAATGGACCAGCACTATTGGTTCCTTTTTTCCATTCATC